TCTTGTGCAAGTGCTGTTTTTGCCGACTACACTCAAGCACCTCCCCAAAAACGAAATTTCATATGGCTAGAGAAGTTACCAAAAATATTCAGTTTACAGTCCTTAGCTAAAACCAACAAAGCTTTGCTGGAACCACTGGACAATTCATAATGCCATTGCCAAAGAACTGCAAATAGTGTCTAGAGCCACTAAGAGCTTGACAACTCATCCAAACCTACCGACTAGCCATTACACAACCCAAAATTTACAAAAATACCACTGGACATGTATATATTATTTTTCCCATTTTTTGGGAAAGAGAGAGGACCCTTCACGTTTTCCAGCTTCCTTCAATGTTTTTCCAGTTCTCCACCCCACGCACCAAATCTTTAATCTTCATCCAAAGAATTGTTCGTCTTTAACCCCTCATTCCATACATTAAATCACCCACAAAAGAAATTGCTGCTTATTTCATTATTTTATACACCTTCAACACTACAGAACAATTCCAGACCTGCAGCACGCCACAGCTAGGGGGGACACCATGCCTCAATTCCAGCTTCTGGGTGATTCTTCTTGAGCATCAAAGGATCAAGCAACAAGGTTAGCACCAAAAATGGGATTAAGCACTCCACTCGAAAGCCCCTAAGTGATCATCCTTCCTTCTCCCATCACCACTTTCAAGTTTATTCTCTTTGATCTTGAAGGAACTTTAGAAGAATAATATGAGAATTGCACATTATAGAGTGAGGATATTTACTAAAGATAATAGAGGTCACATTTATTGCCATTATTACCATTTTGCAATAATTTATGTATCAGTGCAACTCTCAAGTTGTAATCTTTGATCCTTGTGTATTCTTTGTCCATGCTGTTCCTATCATGATATCCATCTCCTTTTTACTCTTTTGATAATTAAGCAATCGTCCTTGGTTCTTGAGATCTCGTCCTTCATTGTTCAGCCCTCTTCTTCCCAGCTTGGTTGGAAGATTTGTGTTTAGCAACTTCGTCGAAGAATCTATTGGCAATTATTACCGCTAGATAGAACAAGATGGCTCATGGCACGTAACCTCTTACACATGAAACGGGTGTTGCCAAAAAGACCCTCCTCATTTCTCCATGGGTGGTATCCAAGTTGGTTGCCACTTGTTCTTCACTACCGACTCATCATCTTGCATCACCAACACACCTCAACAACAATTTAGCTCATGCACGTCATTATCCTTTTCAAGACTTGTCTCTTATTGCTTAATTGCTTTATTTGGAGAGAGACGATTAACTTTTGCTCATAGGTTGTCCCTCTTTTTATTTATTTATTTATTTTGGGTAGAATGGGTTTGTCTCTCTTTTTATCAGCACAAGGTGTTGGATTGGTTTTATGATTTTTATTTGCTTTTTAAGTTTAGGGAAGTACATATAATTTAATAAGTATCTACTTATTTAATAATATATGGATATCATGACTAAAGAAATAGGTAAAACAAGAACTTCTAGTTAGGGTGTTTATAGTGTAATTTGATTCAGATTTTAATATTTTTTAAATCAATTTAATTTAATCGATTAGTAAAATTTTTAAACAAATCCAATCTACTACTATATGATAACCAAACCAATCCAACTTAAATTGGATTGATGTAATTTAGTTGAATTGATTGGTTTTTAAAACTATTAAACATATAAGATAATGTTAAAAATTTTAACATCAAATAGAAAATATAACTATAAAACACATTAATATTTAAATAAGTAGAAACATAATTGAAAAAAAAAACTATAAATGGTCTTATATTCCTTTACAATTGTAAATATTGAAAAGATCTAGAAAGAATCTAAAAATTCTTCTTAACTACACCAAGAGGCACCAAGATAATAAAAAATGACTCAAAATTTTAAATACAATGCAAATAATTGTTAAAAGTTAAACTTAGTTTTTTTTTTTTCCTTAATGCATCTATGACTCAATCTCATCTTCTTCAAAACCTTTTTAAAAAAACAAATAAAATTTAAAATGAATATCACTCTGATTGATTAAAAGTATTTATAATCAAAATTTAAAATTCCTCAACCAAATATGATAGCAGAATATTAAAACTAGTTTTATTATGAAGTTTTACTTCTTGAATGATATTTCTTTAATGTTTACTGGGAGAATCAAAATATCATTTTATGAACAAATTAGAAGTTTAAGATTCTAAGAGCAAAGTCGCAAATGGGTTTTGAGGGGTAGAATTACATATGAATTAAAAATTTAGAATTAGGGATAAACTACATGATTAAAAAATAAAAATAAATTAGGGAATATGGGAATATTTTATTTTTATTTTTTAATTAAGTTAATGAAGTTATTAACTTGTGAAACAAGAAAAAGAAAATTTAAAATACTATAAAAATATTATATTATTTAATTAAATTATCTTGTAAACGAGTTTTATTTTGTAATCGACAATTTAGGCGATTTAAAAGTAAAATTATAAACTAACCAATTATATTGGTTTTAAAATTTTATAATTCAAGTCAACTCAATTTTATACCGATTTAGTTTAGTTTTTAATTGAATTGGATCAGTTTGGATTAGATTAATTGATTGGATTGAATATAAACACCTCTACTTCTAGCTCGAGTAGAGGCAGATGGAGGACAAATAGGAAGGTTTCACCTTCAACCAAGAAGAAAGATGTTGGCTGGAAGAGGAAGGTTGCACCAGTGGACAAGATTAGAGAACTAGTGGAAAATAATTTAGGGATAATCTTTTTGTATCACTTTTTTGTATAACCTTACGATATCATTTAAATAATTGATTTTTTTTATTCATTTGAGATCCCGAATATTGAATATATTCACTCATTTAATGACATATAAAAATTATATAAAAATATAATATAAAAAAAGTTATTCCTATATCACTGCATAAAAACTGGCTCCCAAGTTGCTAGTCAACCATTTTGGCGTGGCCTAAGGGAGGGGGATTCTGACCCCACAATAGATGATTTGTAGTTAAGTTGTACAAGAGTTGAATGACAAAAGAGTAATGTCGTATTTAAACACTGAATAATTATAACTTTTAAACTATTCATAAGTTGCTTTATCACCATTCAATCCCAAATTATGCCAATTAAAGAAAAGCAGAGGGAGTATATACAACAAACAAAACCAACCCAATTCCAGCAAAAAATGTAAAAGAAACTTCTGATTTAAACTCAACTGCTAGGCCGTGGTTTTAACTCCCCTTCTTCACGTTACCCAACCTAAGAAAAGCCATACCCCTTGACCTTGTTTTAAAAGGATATAATCATTGATTTCATAGAGTTAGTTATTTCTACAGCCCTATATATGGCGTATATTACGCAACCTTATTTGAGCAGAAAATGTTACCAAAAAGAAAAATTTCTGATTTTAACTCTAAACCTATGTTGTGAATTCCAATTCTGGAGTCATACTTCTACTTATAAACAAAATACTTATAATGGAAATTATACTCAATTTTTTCCTTTGCAGCTCTGTTTCTCTTAGGGTTAGGGTTTGAGTTGTGGGTTTCTCTTTTTAAAATTTCTCCCTTTAGGTGAGTTGCACTCTTTCTTTTCAATTCATCTTTTCATAATCAATCCTCCTAATTTTAGTTTTCTCTTCGCTTTTGCTTTTCAATTCATCTTTTTCTTTATCAAAAAAAAAAAAAAAAAATCTATGGCAATTGGCATCCTTGATGATTAGTGGTGGCACTGACGCTATGTTAATTCATTGTTTATGATTTCTTATGTTGATTGTAGTATTTATTAATTAAAAAGGAAAAAAAAAAAAAAACAGAGAGAGAAAAGCATGGTGGCATTCAAAAGGTAGAGGTCTTTAAACTTGTGGCTAGTGGATTCATGGATGAAGAGCATCCATTGTAACTATAAAGAAAGTCTTCAATCAAATAAATTGTTCCAACAATTAAAAGCTCAAAGTGGTCGTGCGTGTTTGCGTATGTTTGGAGGACTTTTCAATGATTTTGTCCCTAGTTCTCCATTGAAGAGGGTTTCCTCTAAAAACATTATATGGGCTCATAAAAGAAGGAAAAAGAGAACTCAAGACATTGGATTGGGTGGATGACTCTATCTAAATTGACAAAACAATTTATAATGGAAAGAGGATTGTTGCATACTGAAATCCCCACTCTCCCTTAGAAGCTAGTCAAACAAGTGTGAATGTCCCATAGTTTGAGATGCTCATTGAAATCCTTAGATGAAAATAACTCCTTTTGCTTAATTATTTATATATATCCATCACAAGTATAGATTAAATTCATATCTAGTAAAAATAAAGTAATATTTTAATTTTAGATTATATTTGCCTTGATATAGGGATTTCATGTAATGTCAACATTGTTTTATTAATAAAATCTCTATTTTTCATTAAAAAAATCTTAATAATAGAAAATTCAACCAATGCAATTCATCAAATTTATTTTGGCTTAATTCAATTATTAGTCTATTAATCATTCACCTAATTTCATTTTAGTTTAGAAAGTTTATTTTCTTTCTAAATAGTCTAGAAATTTTGTAAAATATTTAAGAATAGTCTACGCTATAAAACTTCTATTAGTTTTAACAAAAAAAATTACATCAAAATTAAAACAAAATAATTTTAACAAATAAAATAATCCATGACAAACTATGTAAACTATTAAAACATATCAATGGTTATGGTTTTTGTTATAAAGGAGAATCGTTAAAAAAAAACACTGAAACTACATGTGATAAAAATTACAATTTCTTAAATAATGAAAAAAAACTTATTATCCTCATAAAATTAATTTTATCTTAAAACTAATTTCGAGAAGTAAAATTTAAAATATATATATATAGTTAAAGATCAATTGGATCAATCAAAGTAAAATTGTTCTTAAGAAAGTTAACATATTAGATTAATCTGAAATAAAAAAAAAATATATAATAGATGGATCTAAAAAATATTTAAAAATAATAAACAAAACAAAAAAAGAAATTACTAGACTATTTATTAAACTAATCCAATTTATTTTCATTGAACTTTAAAAGGGATTATTACGCAGATTAATCACTGCAACAAAGAAATGAACAAATACGACCAGCCAAGATGATAAATTGTTAATTTCATTAACGTGGAAACATGTTGACTTCAATTATGTACACATAAATGTAATGGCATGGAAACCGGTGACCTTGGAGATGATATTGACCAAATTATTAGTCTAAAATAAGGACAGTTGTAATAGGCTGATACCCATTAGTTCGGAGTTGAAAGGAGAATGGCTGATGAAGCTTTACAGTAACTTAGACCATCGGTTGCTCGGTTGTCTAATCAAAATCATCCACAGCAAGCCAGTCACTTGACTCACCTTCAGAAGTTGATTGGCGTGGTTTCTGCAAGCCACTCTTTTCAGGACTTGAATTTAGCTGAACCCACTCGTTGGAACCACTAGGGGAAGCTTTAATGTGCTTTGTTAATTTAAGTGTTGATGGTTTATCTGAATGATCATTATTGTCATCTTCCAGATCACTGAAGGAGGCATCTTCTTCATTTTCATTCTTCCTCCGGGCAACCACAGATGTGTCACTAGAAATATCAGCTTCTTCCCACCATTTCAGAGTATTATCTTCATCCTCAATCTCTAAACCCTGTGCTGCATTTGTGATCTCAGTAACAACCCTTTCCCCAGAAGGGATATTCTCTCGATATGTCTCTCTGACGTTGCAGCTCTCTTGCCATGCATCACAAGTATCAGAGTTCTTCACCTGTGAATTTCTATTGTCATGCAACTTCTGCAGTAGTACATCTCTAGTTGCAACAACCTACAAGATGAATTTACCATTTAGTCAGAATGCATTTGATTGCAAAAAACAGTCACACAACCATGGCCTCAACAAGAAACCAAACATAAAACCCCAAGGCAATTTTGTTAGTAACAGTGCTATCAATTATTACATGAGAAATCCAAAACACCTAGAGGAGAAAAAGAGTTGCAAAGTTACGTGTCTTTGATCTAGTACTTACTAGTTCCCATACAGTTCTCAGAAAGTTGAGCTTGACGTGACTACCAAATAAAGGACAGTTAGCAAATACAGTTAGCGTTAATTCATTGTGAACAATTTCTAGTTTGATCTTAGGTTCTGATGTCCTCTCAAACATAAATTTCACAACTCAATGAAAAGTGGGCCAAGGGAAGAATCAGCTGCATTGTAGAGCCTGTTTGGTACGAGGATGACTCAGAAACTGCTTCCCAACTGCCCCCAGATTCTGCTGCTGGGTATTTAGCTGACTAAACCTCTTGGTCATATTTTCTCCTACTATAAATTAATGGATGAGTAAGGAATAGGTATTACCCCTCCCCTTCCAAGAATAGTTATTCCTTGCTTCTCTAATATAAAATAAAATCATCAATCTTAAGGCATTCCTCCAACCATTCCTTTCTTCTCTAATATCTACTTCTAACTTGATATGTTTCCTAATTTTGTTTTGGTTTTTATGGTTTGAACAAGGAATAGCCATTCCTCCAACCAAATGAGCCCCCTTGACTTTTTGAGGGTTCAATAAAGCATAATCCTGGGAAAATTTGAGGTTTTAGTTACAAAAGCACCAGGTGATGGTGAGGGAGAAATCAGAAAAGAAACAATAAGTGCCAAAAATAAGGGAAAAAAAAAAAGAAGTCAAAAGGAATAAGGCAACAATAATCATCGGCCAAAAAAAGTTCAGTGGTAGCTGGATCCCACTCAGTAGGAGGCACTTACGGTTGGCAATCCCAATCAGACATCACTAATGTTAGGATTCTGTCCCTAGAACAAACAGGAAACTCAGACAAAATCCTAAATTGTCACTGGTCTTTTTGTTTTTGGTTGTTTTATTATTATTATTTTTACAATGCAGAGTAGTTTGATGTGTCTAGCTGCCTAAGCAAGGTGCCCAGCCACTGCCTAGCCACTCTTTTTGCAACACTGCATAGTCTAGTTAACTAAACACCATTCAACACTTTCCAGAGACAAGCAGGCAGCACTTTCAGGGACAGCAACTTCTCCTGGAGTGCTAACCAAACACAACCTTAATGCATGGGCAATTAAAAAGTTCTATGGACCATGAGATGATTCCTTGGGCAATCAACAAGCATTCAGGGCTTTGTGAACATCAAAACCCAAGCCAGCGAATCAGAGACATGAAGACATGATTGACCTATATAAACATGCTAGATCTAGAACACAAGCCCATACTCATTGTTTCCAACCTATAAGTGTTAACTCTCCTTGTTAGAAGAAAAACAAGTATGCTTCTGACAGTATACCCAATGAAAGTGTTACTTAATTGAAGGATGATAAGTGAGATCAGTTGACAAATCTTTATTAGTATTTTGCAAGTGAACAAGATCTTAAGCTACAATGATAGATAAACACACACACACACACACACACACAAAAAATTATGATTACAACAAAGTCATTTGATAGCAAAGATTTATAGGCCTTACCATGCATCTAAGAAAATTAAAACAAAACAACATATGGATAGAAAAATTCTTGCCTCAGGGGTCGATAGTAGCTCAAAATCATATTCATTTAGTCTTGGAAGCAAAAATATGAAATATATCATCCAAAATCGTTCCTCCGCCATGGAACTCTGAAGGTTAAACCTAAGAGCAGAAAAACTTGGGACCAAGTGTTGAATATTCAAAGCATGTTCTCTCTGAGCAGCAGACATTTTAAAATCTGCAAAATAGCAAGTCAAATTTTAGAACCAAGTAGATGCACTATCATATTAATTTAGTTATACATTTCAATTAATTTAATGTTTGATGAGAGATTTAATTATTTTAACACAGAAAAAGAGAAGAAACCCAGGAAGTTCTCTCTAAGCCTCATCACAACCAATATAGATAATTATAAGTTAGACTAGTATGCTCCTATATCATTAGTCACATTTGGTTTAAACCAAGAAGTCCTAAAAGATTATTGAAGATCTTTAAGATTTCATACAAAAGGATTACTTTTAATAGGCATCAGTGATTACTTAAGCTCAAAAAGTAAACTCTAGCATAAATAACTGTTCTTTTATTTAAAAACTAAATTCGATTAGTGAAATCAAGAAAGATAAACTGTACTTCAATAAGCAAACACAGAACTAGTAAAAACCATTATAACAAACACAATTCTAGTTCTAGGAACAAAAACTGAACCTACGCAAGAAGTAAACATGCCCAAATTTCATGCTTCAACTTTGACCAAAAATCATTCAACCAGTGCATTCCCCAGAAACCACCTTGCCAGACTCCAAATAGTTTGCTAATAAGTTAAAAGCACTAAGTAGATCAACAAGTTAACCTCCTGGTAATATACCTAAACCCATATTACTTATATAAGCACTTTGCAGTGGGTTTCTACTCCGCTATGTTTTTAGAGAAAATCAAATTATAATACAATGTCTGCTCATACTTACATGGAAATTTCCTTTATGACACTAAATTACCAACAAACTTGAAGTTCCATGTTTGGAATTCACACCAATTAAAAACGAAAACAGAATTGCAAATTTTACAACACTCTATTAACAAAAGCCACAAGTCAGATGAAGAACTGACATACTTTCCCATATAATCATATTGACGCCTCATTGCCTACAATTAAATTATGCAATTGAATCATATTCAGTCAACTCTTTTCAAGAGTACGAGAATGCCGCGGATGAGAAGAGAATCAATTCAAGATAAGAGAATCTTAATGCTCATTGCAGGTCAAGACAAGAAACAGACTAGCTTCGTATTCTCCATTTAGTGCTCAGTAACTAAGCTATTTATGATAATTCAGAAGTCAACACAGAAAGAGAGGATACCATTATCTAGTGACAAGGGAAAATCCGTCCAGCACTCCGGCCGCAACGAAATTTCTTTAACGAAATCAACAACCTCCTCTGTAATCCCTGGAATCCCATCATCGTCATCCTCTTGATCATCCCGATTCCGTAGCTGCAAGAAACTAGAAGCGAATCTCGAGATCCCAGAAACCGCCTTATTACTCGACAGCCGTGAGAGTCCGCTCTTGAAGCTGTCCCCGATCTCCACTAGATCGTTCCGGATTCCGTACAGCGCATGAGACTGCTGCTTTTGCTGTCCTTCCTCCGCTACTTCATCTCGCCCTGCCGCCGCAACAGACGGCGGTGGAGCCAGAAAGGCGGCTACGCCCCTCAATTGGCGGCCGATTGCCTCCCCGAGCACGGAGAGGTCATCCTTGACGCCGGGGCCTTGAGCGGCGGATGAGGACGGCGAGTGACGGTCGGCGTCGGCCGGGAAGGACTTAAAGAACCAAGACATTGAGGTAAGTTGCGTGGGTTAGGTTGGGGAAGGGTCAATGTTTTCCATCCACTCTGATCCTTCAGGTTCCTTTGTAGAGTATACTTCTAAGTCTTCTATTCCTAGCAGGGAATCGATAACTCGCACACAACCGGGTCTCAACCGAACACGTCATAGACTTTTAATTATTGATTTTCATTTTTTGGCAACAAGAATAGTTGTGTTTGAGGTGGTTTTTTCGGGAATGCATATAACCAAACAACAAATTGTTAGGTCGGATAAATATTTTTTGAATATTGTATTTCGAAATATTACTAATTTAATTTAATTTAATTGTTAAAAAAGGTTAATAACTATATGTAAGGACAGGTCCGAGGTGCCAAGCCTCGAACTGATACAGTAATTCTTTTATGACCAAAGTAGAGGACAAATCCAAAGCCTTCCGCTCAAATAGCTGCATGACAATGACAATAAGTATGTCCGCACCTGATTCCTTATGATGAGCGGCACAGCAAGTATGGTGGATATTCATGCATCTGAATACCTCTCAAATTCCCGGTCCCGGAATAATCGTCTGGATAGACACGTCAGGCTCCGATTATCTTGCTTGGCATGCCACGTGGGTTCCTCTTTGGATCCTATAAATACCCCCCCCGGCCACGTCAAAAGGTAATTGAAACCAACCCTAAGCTCTTTTTATCTTCGCCCTAAAGGTAGTCCCGATTATTGCTGACTTAAGTATCGATGTGTCTACCCCGAGTTCCACCTCGGGGCCTTGCAAGTCATCCCGGAGTGCAGACGCGAACTGAAGAAGGACTTCTGGTTTGGTGCAATTACATTGGCGCCGTTTGTGGGAATCGAACTGAAAGCTTTCTAGTTGCTCTTTTATCATGGTTCACACTCGATCAGTCCGAGCTGGTAATTCATCTCTACCTCATGGGCAAGGTCAACCCCCCAACAATCTTCCGCCTCTGATCCCACCTCAACTCCCAATTCAACCTCCACCTCAGCTCCCACCTCAGCTCCCCACTATGTTCCTTCCTGTTGATCATGCAGAAGAAGGAGATGAAAACCAACCCTATACCTCAGCTCACAATTCAACTTCCACTACCAACCAAGACATAGTGGCAGCTCAGCTTGCTGCCATGCAACAACAGTTTGGTGTTTTTCAGTTGGTGCTGGCTCAACTTTTAGCTAGAAATAATCCTGGTGATCCCCT